TTACTCCAAAGATCGAGACTACGAGCGGCCTGATTTGCCGTCCTGTAGATTTTCCTTACAGCATCAAGCCAAGAGGTGACAGATCCATCGATCTCATCAGATGCGTCGAAGGAAAGCATGCGTGGGGTGATGAGGATGCTGAGCTTGTTCAAGAAGACTTAGCAAAACATGGATGTTGATAGGCGAATAGTTTCTTCGCGGGAAATTCAAAACAAGATGTATCTAAGCTAGAGATTGAGAGCAAATCGACTGATGCAAAGACATGATTATTACATGCACCGGCAAGTTTGTCTGGGCGTGCCCCTGACACAGTCCCGTTCTCGCTTAATTTTGTCGGTTTGAAAGCTCGGAGTGTGCATCTACCAGAGGCAACAGGCCACCAACAGTGGGTTTCTCACGGCGCTCAGATAGCTGGCCCTTCGAGTTGTGATGTGACAAGGTCTGCGCCGGACTTGATCACTGATCAAATCCAAGGTAGAAATAAACTCAGGACCCGGGAGGTGGGAGAGTGAACAGTATCCGAGGCACTCGTACCGAGGTGTAACCATGAAAGAGTCATGGGTCACCTAAGCGAGGTGGGAATGCGTGCAGGGTCCACTCAGTCGGGTCAACCGAGAATCACGGAAGAATACAGAGGTCCGAAGTCCTTTGACAGGAGGCAGCAATGAGACAACAAGAAGATGAGAGCCAAGAGCGCGGCTTTTTCTTTCGCATTCGGGCGGCCACTCCGCCATCCTAAACCGATGCGACCCGCTGTGCGTTCATCTCAAGTTTCAACACGTCACAACCATGCTAGGGAGACTACTTGGAAGAAGAAAACAGGGCCTGATGCAGCGCCGTTGAGATGCAAAGTCTAAATCAGGTGACGATGAATTAATCGCGATCTACCAAAGATCTTGCAGTGGTTTGTTTTTGGAAAATGTCGCCTAGGCAAATCGCGAAAACGAGCTTTTAGTGGATTGATGGTTCACTCAATCAAATTGCCTTCTAAGCTACAACTCCCGCTCCTTGGATCGCGATGCGCAAAGGGCAGACTCGGAAGACCCCCCACAGGGAAGATGGCTGGGCTGAAGAGGTAGAAAGAGGCTCCATCACCTCTTGGTACTTGGCGTTTCTATTCACTCAAGCTGTGAATGTTGTTGTGCTCGTCTAGCTGCCCCATGCCTTGTGGGCCGTCGAGCTGTCATCCTTGCATTGCGGGCTGTAACACTATGGCGGGCCGACGGTAGAATCTATAGCCCCTGGGCGTGATCCGTTGATCCTTGTAAGTGCATAGATTATGGTGCGCGGAACAAGGCGCAGGCGGCCTTGAGGCGAACACGAAATCTGGGCTGGTCTATTTCATGGATGAACGTGGAAAGACTGGGGCGCTAGGCTGATGTTGGGGTTGACAACTGACAGCTGCATAGTATTCAGCGGTGATTAAGGAGACTTCGGGGACCAAAGGAGAAGTTCTCCTCGGGCAGCTGGTATGCGGACGGGGACTGATTTTCGGCGGGCGTATTCCAAAACCGGACGGAGCCTTTGGCGGGGTAGGGCTACGGGGCTGACGGGGATCGTCGGGACCGGGGTGGCTGCGAGGGCGTGGGATAGTGGGACCCTCGTACAACGGCCTGACTCGCCTGGGTCGTTTTTCTGCCCTGTACTAACCAACTCCTGCCGATCACAGCATTAGACGACGAACTGTACCGGACATGTACATACTTACTGTAAAGAACCACCAGAAATCAACCGACTGACCCGAATAACAACGACGAAAACGAATTTGACCCAGATTGACTGTACACAGTATACAAAGACACGAGACATCACAGTATCAGCAGAAGCTGCTCGACCCAGAAACGCCCCGGCTAATTATGGCTCAACACTTCTTTGGAAGCTGGTGGATTCCACAGACGAGAACCATCGTCAACAGGCCACGTATCCAGTGGGACGGCTGGCGGTTCATACGGGGTCTGAGTTACGTCTGGCTTTGAGTATTGCATTCGGTTGAGGGCGTCGTAGTAATGATCGGCGAGTATTATGCCAATTTGCTCACTGAGAGGCTCAATGGGGATTACCATCCTGTCGGAGAGATGAGCATGGTGCAACTCAGTGCACAATCTTACACCATGCAAGTGAGTGAGCCGGCAAAACCGGTTTCATTCGAGATTCAACTGACAGAATCTTATTGAGCCGAGGAAGGCCCGACTCATCCTCTTCTTCATAGTTGTTGATTTTGTAAACTCCTGTGATCTCCCAGGCTGGCCGTGCTATGAACGTTCGATTGCTACGTCGTTAATTACCAATCCACTGTAGCATTGTGACATCGACACATGTTTTGAGAGTTCATCGAGGTTGCATCCCGAAGAAGCCACACGCGTTCAGCACGATCCAAAGAGTACATGAGCTTCAGCGTTGTAGTCAGACTTAAGTTGCTGTCCTAGGTTCAGCCTCGCAGCAACGGCCTGACCACGAAGTTGCAGCGGAGATCTCGTCGTTGTGGATGACTGCAGGGAATTGTATATTACCTTACCAAGTAGTTCAGGTTGAAGAAAGCCACAAGGGGCTACAAGTGATGGCTTGTGAGATGTGAGTTTGGAGATGCTAGGGAGCCATGCGCCCTTGGTCAACGGCCGGGGTTGCTTTATTTGTATGATGTACAGCTAGGACGATTGAATCACTCAGCAGAATGCGGAGATGTCTCTTCAGGCAATTAACAATCACACTTATTGTTCGAAGATTTGTGAAGCTAAACTCGCCTAAAAATTGGAGATGCATACATGAACCCACGTGCTTGTCTGGTAGGCCTCATATCGCTTCTTTCAGCTCCCTGTTATGAACGTCACTCACTTCCAACTGATGGATCCAACATGCAGCCAAGAATGGTGAGGACTACAAAACTACCTAGTTTTTATGACTCAACGGCGTGATGTACCCATAACCATCGCTACATTCTATATCATCCAAGACTTGACCATGAACATCCTTCCTCGAATAGCACTGTTCTGAGTCCCTAGACCTAACAAGGGTAAACTCAACCAAATACCAGACTCTCTTCAACCGGCACTCGGCGTAGGAGTCGTTGCTAGTGGAATAATAGTGAATACCAGCGGAGTTTCGATGAGGACTTCGCCGGTTGAGGTGGACGCAAGCGAGTTGGTTGAGCTTGATGATGCTGGAGATGTCAAGCTGTTCGTTGTCTGCGTATTGTTCTCGGTCTTGGTTTCGGAACTAGCCGTCGACGTCTGAGGGGTGACTGGGGGCAGGGTGCTGGATGACGTTGACTGCGGAGCCAGTCCCGAGCTGTTGGTAGCGGTACTGAGGGGGCTCAAGGTGTTGGTAGAACTGGAGCTGCTGCTGGAACCTGCAGATACCGAAGTTGCGGTTGTTGATGTGGTGCCAGACTGTCGGGTTGTCGACCCTGAAGAAGCGGACTGAGATACAGATCCCGTGCTACCCCCTGTTGTGATAGACACAGGGATGCTGGAGATGCTGCTTGTGCCAGAAGCTAAATTGGACGTTCCGGATGTCGTGAAAGTGCTACCTCCTGCTGAAGATACCCCCGCCATGCTAGTGGAACTGCTGAAGAAAGATGTTGGGGATGATACCAGGGAAGAGGTACCCGGCGTTGTAAGTGACCCAGTAGAACTGGCAAAAGATGGTGAAGGAGACGAAGACGTAGATGGAGAGGACGATGAGGCTGAGGATGTCAATGAAGACGAAGATGAAGCGGGGGATGGAGATGAGGATGAAGATGCCGATGAAATTATTGAAGATGACGTCGACGAAATGGAAGAAGAGAGTGACGAAGACAGCGATGAAGACGATGAAGAAGCGGATGACAAAGATGACGATGTGAGAAGCGTTGAGGTGGTACTGGTGGTTGACGGGCACGATGCAGCCGGTGGCGGCAATCCATATATTGTGTAGTATGTGTTGGCGCCGGTATTGCCGCACGGCGAAGTTGGAGCCCCCGAGCAAGGGACGGGACAATTACTATCAGCCGTGGCGGCGCTACTGCATGGTGCTTGATTTCCAGCCGAGGCACAATAGCAAACGTTGCCGATGAGGGCTGCGAAATTCCGGTTTTGAGCCTGACATCTAGACTGACAATTTCCCGGATTGCCACCGCCGACAGCTTGATAGACGATATTGAAGACCGAGTTTGCTGAAAAACAGCCGAGATACTGATACGGGCTGACTGGAGCTGGTGTAAGGGCTTGAGCGCTGACAAGGGAGATGAGGCCAAACTGGAAGGCGAAACTAAGCAGAAGAGATGATTGCATGATGACTAGATGGCGGTATCTTGTGTGGTGATGGCGATATAAAACGACATGAAGACCGTCTCATACTATGTAATGAAGAGACTGGTAGTGAAAAGAGAGAGCAGACGTTTTGAAAAAGGGGTGAGAGCTGTCACCACGCTTCTGAAGTAGGCTGCTGGTTGCTTACTTACGCGTCTGGTCGTCACAGAATGGCCAATTTGGTTTCCAAGGGCCAACGAAAATGGTCCACTTGCACATTCCAACATTTCAGTGCGCAGTCTCACATATTGTTGGAAGTGAGACAGGTCCCGGCCCGAAAGAGGCGCGTCTCATCGGTATCATCGGAAATAACATTCCAGTATGGTTTGGTGGCGTTCGTCAACATTTGCCGTTTGTATCTGTCTAGGCTCCAGATCTCAATTAGCTGCATCTCCTTTCTGATCCGGAAATCTCCGCTCGGTTTCGCTCCGCGGTGCGATTAGATCCTTGGCCGAAAAGGGACTGACTAGTCAATCGGAGCCGGTGCAACGCCGGGGACTTTTGTGGGTCGCCGTCCGAACACCAAACTCCGCTCCGCAAAGCAGCCCCGCACCTGCGGAAATGTCAATACCCGGAACTTGTTTCCTCTTTGAACTACCACGGTAACGAAGTTCGTATTGCCTGCGGGAGTAGATAAACTCCACCGATTCCTATGTATATGTCTGCGAACTCATGCTTCCTACGTTCAAGACTTCAAACAACATTACCGCAAAAATGTCGGAAACAATGAAGACCTGGCAGTACTCTGCCGTGAACGGAAACCTTGAAGACTGCCTCACTCTCAACAAGGACGCGCCTATACCAAGCATCTCCTCCCTTCGCCAGGACGAGATCCTCGTCGAAGTCATCAGCGCATCGCTCAACCCCGCCGACTACAAGGTCCCCGCAACACCTCTCATCGGCCGCCTGCTGATATCCCGCCCTGCAACCCCAGGGATGGACTTTTGCGGTCGCGTCGTCGGCACACACCCGTCGAATACCACTTTCAAAGAGGGACAGCTTGTTTTCGGCGGCTATGCAATGATCAACCAGAGGGGCGCTCTCAGTCAGTACACCGTTATCCCCATGGCCAATGTCGCGCCTCTGCCAGAGGGGGTCGACCCGGACCACGCGGCGGCAGTGGGTACGGCTGCCACGACCGCATACCAGTCCCTCATGCCCGGCACGCTCCAACCCGGCGCGAAGGTCTTCATCAACGGTGGAAGTGGAGGGACGGGGACCTGGGCCATCCAGATTGCCAAAGCGTTGGGCGCGGAGGTCGTCACGACGTGCTCCACCGTAAACGTTGAGCTCTGTAAACAGCTCGGCGCTGATGAAGTCGTTGATTACAAGACGGACGACGTGGTGGCGAATTTGAAGGCGCGAGGTCCTGTCTTTGATCTTGTTATCGACAATGTGGGCAGCACCACGGAGCTCTACGACCAGAGCAATCACTACCTGAAGGCCGGGGGGACATTCGTCTTGGTCGGCGTTGGCGCAGATCTGTCGATTTCTGGCATCTTTTCGAATCTCAGCAGACAATTGCGCCCTGCGATTATGGGATGCAGAGGTTTCTATTTCGTTCATCAGAAGAATGATAGCGAGTTCTTTAGTCGGATTGGTGGGTGGATGGCGGAGGGCAAGGCTAGAGCAATTATCGACTCGACATTTCCGTTTGATGACGTGCCCAGCGCTTATAAGAAGCTCCGGGAGGGGAGAGCCAGGGGAAAGATTATTGTTCATGTTGGGAGCAGGTAGCAGGGTTAAGGATCAGGGAAGCAGGTAATGGTTTCGTTTTGGGATTGTTTTCACCTTCAGATTGAGGCTTTTGCTCTGACAGATTTCATCATTTTCGTTGAGGTTCTTAACAGGACCTCAGTTGACGGATAGTCTCATTTTGGGGACTCCCGAAGATTCAAATTTATTAGTTCGATAAATTATGCAAATTGTACAAAAGAAGTGAACTATGTGATGGTTTTCTGTAGCCCCGGCGTTTGGGTACCAGCACTAAATAGCCTTAACGCTGCAGGAGATCATGCCCAGCTTAGACGCAGGAGAAGCCTTCGCCCAAAGTGCTGTTACCAACACCATCATAGACCTGCTTCTTCGGGTACGGGCAAAGGGGCCTCTTGAAAGCCGGCGTTACGCCAACAGTCGAAGCCATCAGCGTGTCAGGAGCCACACCGTTCTCGACCCACTCGCGCATAGCATCGAATGTGCCCGCAGGATACGCTCCGTTGCCGCCGAAGCAGTGATTGACGCCAGGAGCCAGGAAGAGACGGAAGAAGTCGTCCGCATGCGCATCCTGTGCCAGGACTGAGTCGTAGTAGTGCGTGCTTCCGCGAACGGGGATCAAGGTGTCGGTCTATGCACAGTTAGTAGATGAAGTCAGACTTTTGGGATAGAAGAACTGACCGTTCCGTGGTACCCAACAAGCTTCCCACCTCGGGCGCGGAACCTCGAAAGATCGGGGCTATTTGTTCCCATCATGGATTCGTAGAGCTGGACTGAGAGGTGGGCAAGGTCATCGAACTCGGCCTGGGTCATGTTCGCTGTGCTGGCACTCGAGTTCTTTAGGAGGAAGAGCTTGAGCCAGTCGTCTGCGATTTCGAATGATCCGCGAGTGCAAGTACCGTTGGCCGCGCAGGTCGTCGGGACGATGGCCACATCCGTGATGGAGCCGGTCAGGACTGCCTCCTTTGAGGGGCCGAACCAAATGGTCGTGTTATCGGCTCGTCTCGCGCCATCCCACTGTGTGATGCAAGTCAACCATGATGATTTCTTCTAACAGTGTCAACAAGGGCCACTTACAACTCTGCGAACTACCTCAGCTGCGGCGGCTGAGACCTTGCGTTCAGAACCCAGCTCAGTGCAGTTGACCGTGTTTCCAACCACAGTCGCAGGATCAAAATCACAGCTATCAGTGTCGGATACCACGCCATCCTCAATGCCGTCGGCTCCATCGCACGCCTTCAACGCCGCGCTTGTGATGGCATTGATCTCGCACGCGGGAGGGTACTCGCCAAGCTGATCCATGACGAACATTCCCCACATCCCCTGCATGACGAATTGATTCCAGTTGATCGCCGGAGCGCTGGCAGCGATTCCATCGTATGCATCAGGATAGCGCTGCGCAAGCTGGAAGCCCTGGCGGCCTCCCTGGGAACAGCCCGTGTAGTAAGAATACTTGGGCGGCGTCTTGTAGAAACTGCCGATGACGCTCTTGGCGATGACGGCCGCATCGTTGAGCGTGGTGGACGCCAGATCTTGCAAGAGATAGAGGTTGACGTTCCCCTCACTGAGCAAGCCCCAGTTGACGGGAGTGACATCAGAGCCTAAGCCGCCGTCGGTTCCAACGGTGGCGTAGCCCTCGCCAACGGACGCCATCATGGCCATCAGCCCAGCTTGGTGAAGACCCGCCTGCCAGCCGGAGCCTCCGATGTGCTGGAGACGGCCGTTCCAGGTGTCTGAGGGCAGCCAGACCTGGACGTTGATCGTGTCATTCTGGCCTGGGTGCGTATAGGTGACAGTGACGTTGCAAAAGTTGGCGTTCTGGACGTTGACGGAGCCGTGGTTGGAGTAGTATCCAGGGGGGACATTCTGAGAGTGATTGGCGACAAAGTTGGTCTGAAGAGACAGAAACTCGGCACCGAATAGATCGGGGTAGGCTATGAGGGCGGCAGAGCATGCGCTAGGCGGCACGGTGCCGTTGAAGACAGAAGGGATCATAATGAATGTGGTGATACTAGCGAACGTATGAGTGATTAGAAGAATGGACTCATGTAGAATTACGAGTTCAAATCCCGAAACCTCTTGCGATCGATAGGCTTTATAAACCCGGACATCGAATCGCGGTAGCCAAGAGTAGTCCTTGCGTAGATCGGATCAAAGACGTTTTCCTAGTGCTATCCACATCACTAGGTAGACCATGATATCTCCTGAAAGCCAAGAATCTAATTCTAGTGATACGCTTCAATCCGAAATTGGACCGACAGCTTTTGATTTCAGCATTGTCAACAGACCGGCAGTTGAATGCTGCGGTTCCGCGCTCTCGGACTGGTCCAACATTGATTGGTTCAAGCTGGTCCCTACAACAGGGAGAGTGGCGCAGTGCGAAGATCAACAATTGTCAAAACCGAGGTAAGCTGTGATTCCCTAGCTATCAGACTGAATCAGCAATGAGGTTTGGCCCTAGTCAACCGCACCAGTTCACGGAATTGTAACATTGCGCGTCCTGTGGTGCATGAAGCCCGGGTCCGCCAGGAGCCAAGCCACAGTTGAAGCGGGCCCTCTCGCACACAGACGAATGCGATTGGTCTGGATTCGATCTCTACAATACAGATCCGCGGGATACGCGCAAGAGATCAAACCGACTTTCCAATCTCAGAAGGATGTAACAATTCGTGATGGGATATGTTGCAGTGTCAGAGGGTGTCAACTACATGCCTTCCTGTGTATGAAAATCCATATATCCTTGTGAAGAGGCCTGCCTCTGAAGCTCGAATTCTCGCCTCCTCAAGCTCATATCACCATTGCAATCATTGAACCTTTTCTTTTTCTGGGCTTGAACGCTGTCTTCATCCATTTCGATCTTGTTATCATCACGCAATTTGTTCCATATTTGTCTACACCGTTATCCTGATTTCTCAGTACCGGCACCATGGCTGTTCTTGAACCCTTCAGAGGCAACTATTATCTGTGGAAATACCTTCCCTCTGTCCCAGCAGCTGTCATCTTCTGTGTCATCTTTCTCACAACCACACTTGCATACATGTGGAAGATTTGGAAAACTCGCGCCTGGTTCTGCATCCCGATGGCCATTGGCGGCTACAGTAAGCTCAACCACTCCCCCAAAGCTGAGATGACTCGCAAGACAGGCGAAGCTCAATGCTAACCAGCCATCCACGACCACAGTGGAATTCCTCGGCTACGTCTTCCGCGCCGTGGCCCACAACAAAACCGGCAAACTCATGCCCTTCGTCGCCTCGCAGAACAACATCCTCCTCGCGCCCGTCCTCTTCGCCGCGTCCATCTACATGACGCTCGGCCGCGTGATCCGTATCGTCAACGGCGAGCAGCACGCCATCATCCGGCCCTCGCGGCTGACCAAGGTCTTCGTCGCGGGCGACGTCCTCGCGCTCGCGATCCAGGGCTCCGCCGCCGGCCTGATGGTTGTCAGCGAGTACGCCAAGATCGCGCAGGGCATCGTCGTCGCGGGGCTCGTCTTCCACATCTGCGTGTTCGGCGTGTTCTGGACGACGGCCTGGACGTTCCACTCGCGCATGAAGAAGGACCCGGGCTATCACGAGATCGGGCCGGACGTCAAGTGGGAGCAGGCGCTGCGCATGCTGTACGGGGCGAGCGGGCTGATCATGGCGCGCTCGGTTTTTCGGATTATTGAGTTTGTGATGGGGAATGATGGGTATTTGTTGAGTAATGAGTGGCCGCTGTATATCTTTGACTCGATCCCGATGTTTGCGGTGATGGGGACGTTTTGGTACTGGTTCCCGTCTTCTGTGGGGAGGAAGGGCGACTGGGTGCCGACTTCGTCGGCGAATGATTTGGTGTCTGGCATGGAGAGTGTGGAGTTGAGAAACAGCGTGAAGGCTTAGGGACGAGTCTTGGGTGATTACATACATGATGTTTCGGAGGAACGGTATAAAGTCGTAGATGGACGTTATGGAGAGTTCTCATTCAAGATAATTGAATATCACTTTGGGTACTTGAATTTCAGTGAAACCTCGGTCAAGAAAGTCTCAAGAACCACCAAAATGTTTGTCAATGAATCAAGAATTCGTCAGCCCACGTTCTAAATTAAACCGTTCCATTGAATAATGCTTCTGGACATCTCACTTCCAAGTCCAGTACGCCGACAGACAGCCCGCAGGCCAAGCATGTAAGTAAGCTTACACGAACAGCCCGTCTTATTCCCCCACAGCCACTATTGTCCAAATACAGCACGGCGAGCAGAAGCGTCGCATTGGGTTCTCAACTGAGCGAGCGAATCGCATTACAGGGACTGCGACAGGCCCGCAGTGGATCGGCAGCAGCTACATACGCGGGAACCAACACCGGAAATTTTGCCCAACAGTTCCCCCTGAAAGCCCAGATGTGACCGGGTGACTCACCCACCGAATAAATGCAAGAGAACAACAAGCTTACACGTACCTAACCGAATCCTTCGTGGAACATGTTGTCTCGTCACTTTGTATTCCACACCTACCTATGCGAAGTAACATGGGCGGCCGTTGCTGCAGTTCGCATGAGGCTATGCCATTGCGACGAAAGATATAAAGCCAGAAGCCGAAGACTTCCTTCATGATGAACAACAAGACCAACCTCGACAACTAGATCCATAGACCGAACCACAGGATCAATCGCCAGCAATGGACCTCTCATTAGCACAGTCGTGCGTCCCCAGCACCTTCAGCCCCTCCCTCTTCGGCGCTGAGGTGCTCTCCCTCGAGGCAAACCTCGTCACCAACTACAGCGCTTCCGTCGCCGAGGCGTTCCGCTACGTCGCGCCCGCCGTCACGCTCGACAACGTCTCCTTCTGCAACGTCACCATCGCCTACACGCACCCCGGCCAGAACGACCACATCGTCACCGAGGCATGGCTGCCGCTGGACTGGAACGAGCGCTTCCAGGCCATCGGCGGCGGCGGCTGGGTCGCCGGCCGCTTCTTCCTCACGTACGGGGGCATGCAGGGCGCCATCGCGGACGGGTACGCGACCATCACCACCGACGCCGGTCTCGGGGTCGCGCAGGAGCCGACTCCGTGGGCGCTCAACAGCCCCGGCAACGTTAACCTGTACAACTTGCAGAACACGGCTTCCGTCTCCTTGAACGATGAGGTGGCTCTACCCGTATAACTCCCTATTGTTATTGATTCAATCACTAACACTAACCACCAGGCCATCATCGGCAAGTCCCTGATCAAGAGCTTCTACGGCCGCGAACCAAAGTACTCCTACTGGAACGGCTGCTCCAACGGCGGGCGCCAGGGCCTCATGATCGCGCAGCGGTACCCGGACCTCTACGATGGCATCGCCGCCGGCGCGCCCGCCATCCACTGGAACGAGCTGATGCCCTTCTCCCAATGGCCGCAGCAGCTCATGAACGAGCTCGGCGAGTATCCCTACCCCTGCGAGCTCGACGCCCTCTCCGCTGCCGCGCTCGCTGCCTGCGACGGCCTGGACGGCGTCGTCGACGGGGCTGTCGCTGATCAGCGCGCGTGCCTGGCCAGGTTTGACGCCTTCTCTGTCGTCGGGCGGGAGGTGGAGTGTGCGCAGAAGAATGGGACAAAGATGGCTGTGAGCAGGGCCGCGGCAGTCGTGGCGAACGCGACGTGGCATGGGTACTCTGCGAAGAAGTACTACGGCGGGCTGGTCCCGGGGACGGATTTGACGGGGATGTTGAGCATTGTGCAGACGAGCTGCAATGCCACGGGGTGCGTGGGCGTGCCGAGTATGCTTGGAGGGCTGTGGCTTCAGCTGTTTGTGGCCAAGGACCCTGCGTTTGATATTGGACATCTGAGCCGCGAGGAGTTTGATGCGCTGGTCAGCTCTGGGCGCCAGCAATATGCTTCGCTGGTGGAGTCTGCAGATCCGGATTTGAGGAGGTTCCGTGATCTTGGAGGGAAGATTGTCTCTTTCCATGGATTGGTATGTGTCTTTCAAGATCTTGTGATCATATCTATACTAACAGGTTCTTCACAGGCAGACACTGTTATCCCGCCCGGATCCACGGAGGAGTACTACAACGCCGTGGCCGGAGTGACCCCCGACATCCAGGACTTCTTCCGCTACTTCGAAGCCCCTGGGTTGGCTCACTGCTTTGGCGGCAAGAGTGGCCAGCCGAATAACCTCTTCCAACAGCTGCGCGACTGGGTCGAAGAGGGCACTGCGCCCAAGAAGACCCCCATCAAGTTCAACGTCGGCCCAGATGAGACCCAGAACCGTATCCTGTGCCCTTACCCGCAAAAGGCTCAATACGTTGCTTCGTGTGGCGACGCCGCGTTGGAGAAGTGCTGGTCCTGTTCTGGGTCGGAGAACGCTGCTGCGTCTAAGCGGAGCGAGCCTAGACACCTCGAGCTACGCTGAAGACAGAGCTTTTTGCGGGGTTTGATCACAGCTTGGATAATGTTTTGTACACAGATGGACGGCGCATTAGGTAATTGGTAATCGACCTCATGGCGTATCAAGTTCTTGATTCGGCCATTCCAACCACTCAGACCAGTAACTCCCGAGGTGATTTGAGATGGTCTTGACGAGAAACCTCCCCGAGTCTCCGACGGCCCAGTAGTCCCTTGCCCGATGCAACAGGACCGCGTAATACCCCATGATGACGAGCGCTTCGGGGCGTCGTTGCTGCAGCAGGGATATGTAATCCCGCGATATACGGACCGGCCACTCTTGAACGGCGACAAAGCGACGACTTTCCGATGTATGCACCGTGACGAAGAGATACTGCAGGATCTTGGTGGTTTCGAGGTACACCTTCTTCGTGGACTCGCTCATGTCGCTTTCCTCGAGGCGCCGGAGAAGGTCCGCACACTCGGTGCCGTGGGACGAAGAGGTGACGTCGACTTGGAAGTGGACAGGGTCTGTAGGGAACAAGTCTCGTAACATGTTCCCGAATCTTACCATGGACTGGGCGACGATGAATTTGATGCCAGAGTGCAATTCCAAGCAATTCACTAACTTGTCCAGGACACCGGGCAGTGAGGCGGCGTTGGAAAAGATGTCGAACAGGACGTGTTGGCCCAGGAGGATGGAAAAGGAAAACAGGGCGAGGAAGTTGTCCTCGGTGACATCTTCGTTGGTGATTCCAAGCCGACTAATGGCGCGGCTCTGGAGGCGGGTCGATTCATTCTGATAGAGAACTTTCATCTCGGGGTCGTCAGAGACAGTGCTCTTGTGGGCTGCGGCGAAGGCGAGGAGCTCGTCCATGAGGTAGGGTGCTTTCAAGGCTTGCGTGTAGGTCACGTGAAGAATGATTTCCGTCTCTGACTGGCTTGATACAGTGACCTCTGTGAGGGGGCCCTGGAAGTGGCGGAGGAGGTCGAGGTGAAACAGGCTGTAGGTTTCTGCGAAGAGAGTATCTGGTGGGACACATGGTACGGACGTCGGTGGAGGCAGGGACAATATGGAGGCCGGAGTGTCGGCGGAAGATGGAGTGAAGACGATAGAGTCAGATAGAGACGTTGCTGGGGAGAAGGCGTACGGGGAGGCTCCCGAGTCTGGAGTCGACTGGGGACCTGGAGATGATGTCGTAGAGAGGTGTGACGAAGTCGGGGGAACGGGCAGGCTACTCTGCATCCCGACATATGAGCATTTCTTTCCTGCCGTTCGACACTTGACACAGGATGGCCTGGTCTCATCGCATTTGACCTTCCTTTGCTTACACTCTCTGCATCCAAGCCGCGATTTCTTGTGCTTCCGCATGTTGGGTAGTTTCTTAGTGTGTAAGTTGCCGCGAAGCGAGAGTCGACTCAGAGGGATAGACAGCCGGAGAAAATGGGTGTATAAGCAAAAGTCTTTGTAAAATACGTGGACTCGGAAAATATTGCGCTGAATGCCTTTAAAGATCAGAGAGTCTAGCATGCTGATGTTGGGGACCGAGACCGAAACCGCCATCTGAAGGCGTGAATGCGCGGAACTGAATACGAACCAATAGCGTCCATCTCTGTCCGAAGATACCCACTTTGACTGTGGCTTGCGCTCCACTCACGGAATGTTGTCGATTGGACAGGTTGACAGAGTACCCTCACCTCAAGGTAGAGGATTCGACGTATTTATTGCATTTTCGTGCTTGATCTGTGATGATAGTTTTTAGCCTTGTGTTCTGCTTCTCTCAGCCGAGTCCGTCTCTGCTTGCATTGCCAACAATGTGGGCTTGGAGGAAATTCGATCGCAAAAACACCAAGATGCCAAAAGTTGAAGATGGTCCGTGAACCTTGCTAGTCCCAAAGTGGCAAGGCTTCAGTAACCAATGTGGGGTCCACCAACCGGTGTTCAGCCGGAAGAGCCCCGCACCTCCAAGGGTCCACACGGACCTTCCGCAGCGCAGCCTTGCAGCTGGCCCAAAAAAAAAATCTGGACGAAGCCTTCTGTCGCAGGCCGGCGCGCAAAACCACTCCACCTACACCGTCCGGACGATGAGAGCGTCCGTCACGGCAACCAGACAATGGCGACAGACAATCCTTCAAATTCCGGCGGCAGTGCCCCGGCTGCCCCTGCGCCCGCTAATGGCAACCAGAACGGTCGTCAGCGTGGCGGAGGCCGCAACCAGAACAAGCGGCACCCGAAGCGCAAGCAAGAGCAGGGAAGGTCGTCTTGGAGGTAGGTTGAACATCTTTTACCGCGAATTGTCCGTCACTTTCGCGCCCCAATGTGTGTTACTGGCCGTGTCTTGCTGACGAGCACGCCGTCGCAGTCGCGAGGCCACCGACAAGCGCGGACGCAACACCGAGTACCAAGAGTTCAAGCGCCGCAAGGTGAACGAGGACGGCGAGGCCGAGCAGACCGCCAACCCCTTCTCCGCCGAGGAGATCGCCGCCGAGGCCCGCCGCCCGAAGCGCAAGGTCGCCGTCATGGTCGGGTACTCTGGCACGGGCTACAAGGGCATGCAGATCAACAACGAGGAGAAGACGATCGAGGGCGACCTGTTCAAGGCCTTTGTCGCCGCCGGCGCCATCTCCAAGGCCAATGCCGACGACCACAAGAAGTCGAGCCTCGTGCGCTGCGCGCGAACTGACAAGGGCGTGCACGCCGCCGGCAACGTCATCAGCCTGAAGCTCATCATCGAGGACGAGGACGTCGTGGAGAAGATCAACGCCGCGCTGCCCGAGCAGATCCGCGTCTGGGGCATCCAGCGCACCAACAACTCCTTCAGCTGCTACCAGACCTGCGACTCGAGGTGGTACGAGTACCTCATGCCGACGTACTGCCTGCTCCCTCCTCACCCCGATAGCTTCTTGTGGAAGCAGCTCGTGGAGAAGGCCAAGGAGCACGGGCATTACGAGGAGTTCCAGGCCAAGCTGGCGGACGTCATCAAGTACTGGGAAGAGGTCGACGAGAAGGACATCAAGCCGATCCTCGCGAAGCTCGATCCCGAGACTAAGGCGAGGGTGCTCGAGAGGATACACGCGGACGAGAAGCCCGAGGGCGACGACGCGAAGCCCGCCGAGAAGCCTGCCGAACCCGCCTCCGCCGAACCGGCCGCAGAGACCACGGACGCCGCGCCCGCCGAAACCAAGGCGCCCGCCGAAGTCCCCGAGGGCAGCCTCAAGCCTAGAAACCGCGACCTGACCCCCGTCGACTTCGCCCTCCGCGACATCAAGGCCGCCTACATCAACGCCAAGCGCCGGTACCGCGTGACCCCCGAGCGGCTGAACCAGCTGCAGGCCGCGCTGAACGAGTACTGCGGCACCATCAACTTCCACAACTACACCGTCCAGAAGACCTTCAAGGACCCCTCGGCAAAGCGGCACATCAAGTCGTTCAAGGTCAACATGAGCCCGATCCAGATCCGCGACACCGAGTGGGTGTCGCTCAAGGTGCACGGCCAGAGCTTCATGATGCACCAGATCCGCAAGATGGTCGGCATGGCGTCGCTCGTCGTGCGCTGCGGCACGCCGCTCGAGCGCGTCCGCCAGAGCTACGGCCCGACGCGCATCGCCATCCCCAAGGCGCCCGGCCTGGGCCTGCTGCTGGAGCGCCCCGTCTTCGACGCGTACAACCGCCGCGCGCAGGATAATTTTGGCAAGGAGACGATTGACTTTACAAAGTACGACGATAAGCTGCAGGCGTTCAAGGACAAGCAGATTTACCAACGCATCTTCGAGGTGGAGGAGCAGGAGAACGTGTAAGTTTTGCGCACCGAGTTGGGGCATTTTGTCGACGAAGTTTACTGATCGCGTGTCAAACAGTTTTCACACTTTCTTCCAGCAGGTGGACAACTTCAAGTCGGACTACTTCCTCTGGCTCACGGCCGCCGGCATTGACGCCGGTGCCATCATGACCGCCAAGGGAGAGGAGAAGCAGAAGACGCTGGAGGCGCAGATGGGTGACGAGGACGAGGACCCCGAGAACGGCGAGGGCTAAACGAGCCTCTTTCTCGTCACGTGTCGTTGTATACAGTAGATGGTGCATCACAATGATGAGGCTACACAGACCGTAGACCAATTTCAAAAAGCATAAATAGTTCTTTTTTCCCCGTCCTCGTGGGTATCAGCTAGTCCCATCGCAATGTGAAAACCCGAAGTCAACCCCCAAACGCCAATAAAATGCATCACCACCGTAACTTCCACTCTGCCTCCGCGTTCATGAAGTACCGGCACCACCAGGCTGCGTCGGCGCCGCAGCTCCTCCATCAGGTGCCGCAGCAGGCGGAGGCGCAGCGGCAGCAGCCGCATCCTGCCTCCCGATCGGCGCCCACTTGCCCCCGGCGGCGGTCGCGAGCCCGCTGTACCGCGTCTCCTGGATGGCGTTGAGGAGCTCCGCGCAGCGCACGACGTCGGCCTGCAGCTTGTCGGCCTGGATGCGCGCGTCGCTCTCGCCGGCGCCGAGCTTGCCGAAGAGCCAGAGCTCCTTGAGACGGCGGGAGAGGGCGAGTAGGTCTTTGACTGAGGTGTGCTATGTGGTTGGTGTCAGTAGATATTTTTCCTGTCTTCGTCTTGTTTCGTTAAGGGGATTGGGAAGAAAAGGGGCTGGGAATTGGGATGGGTGGAGGGGAGGAGAGAGGGATTGACGTACCAGGCCTTCGAACTCCATCTGCATCGACATGCCCGTCACCGCGACGGTCTGCGGCTCTGCGTTTTTGCGCTCGCCTTCGGCCTGGATTGTCGCGAGCATGGTGAGCATGCGGAAGCGCGACAGCACGTCTGCGATGAGACGGTTGTGTGTGTCGAGGAGGTTGGAGGAGTCTCGTGAGGTGTCCATGGCGGCGGTTGTGGTTGATGTTGGAGGATGGGTTTGGTGGTGAGTTGAGATGAGGAAGGAGCACTGAAGATGCGTGAGGTGTGGTGGGGCAAGATTGGTGGGGGACCCGGTGAGGGAGCTCGGGCCAGCGTGTTGACCGAGAGGTACCCTCGGTGAGGAAGGCGATGATCATGAAGGAGGTACGCCAAGTTCACTCCTAGGCGCACCGGTCTTGCGGAGAAAATGGGTAGAATATTTGTCAGTCTTGTGTACTTTTTCTAGTGTCTTATTTACTGTAGAGTCCCAAGCCACTGATCAAAATGGCCAAACATCACTCTTACCTAAAACCTTTTCCATGTCACAATTTTCGGAAAATTGCAAGTGGCTGGCACGACTCCGACGACACACACATTGAATGAATCAGGCTTCTTCTCAGACTGATGTAACCAATGATAATTTAATCGTAGCATAAGTGCTAATTCTAAGGTACTACTGCAGAACAGATGACTCGCTTCTTTGTCTGTTGGAAAGCCCGAGTTATTGTGTTGAACCAACTCGAATGATCTCCGAAAATGACAAAGACCGATAACAAATAACGTATTATACACGCGGAAGAAAGTCACTGAGTCTTACTGATAACGGAGTCTTCAGTAACTTAGTCGCAATGCTAAAGACTATTGCATTGTTCAAGTGAAGAACATCTGGCATTGTTGCGAACAGGGTACAGCCCGGACTTTGACAAGAGCCTTCTAGGTACTCCCAAAACACTCGTGAGTAGCAGTCTACAAATACAGTATAAACTCTAGTACCCTCTAGATTCAATTTAATCATCAATTCAAACACCTCCAACCTTGAGCCCTTCATCACCTCCACGAAGACCCCAACACCATCCTTAGACGCGGTGAGTCTCCAACCCCAAACATAGAAACCTCTACCTGTGTTATTGTGTATCGGAATTACCCACACGCCGATTTCATCATGGCCTACCGATTCGAAAGTGACAGCGACAGCGAAGGCTCCTACATCGCCAGCCGATTCGCCGACTACGGCTTCACGGACGTAAGCAGATCTGCCGGGGGCAGGACCGTCGAATCCATGGCTTGGGACATCGAGAATCCTTTTTCCAACCTTCACATTACGGATTCGAGATTCGAGGGGCCAACTGGGCCTTATGTTCACGTTGACAACAATATGGGCGAGCAGGTTATCGTCCCCGATCTTGCCGTTTTTCAGGGGATGTTCGGCAGCGACTGGCAGCATTCCCCAAGGCACACCATCATCTTCAACACCATCGACACCTGCGAGTTTGTCATTGACCTCACCGACCGCGAAGAGCCCCCGGACGGACTCCCCACGCACCTCATGGCCCGCATCGAGAAGCCCCGCCGTAACAACCAGCTCCTGTGCTCGGCGGCATTCCAGAAGCTGGCCCATCGGAAGTTGCCCTCACTTGTGCCCAAGGTATGGGGTGCCGGGACTACGCGTACCCGAGACGGTCTTCAGCTTCACTACCTCCTCAGCCAGCATTACCCGGACGTTGTGCCCGCTGAGAAGTACTGGGACGAATTCAATCCGGTCGTAAAGAAAGCTTTCATAAAGGACATTATCGACGCAATGTCAGAGCTGCAGAAGATCAACTTTGGCAATCTCGACATGGAGGACTGGGTCATCCTCTCCGAGAAAGGCCTACAAACACAAGAAATGGAAGACATACCCGCGGTAGGCAATTCGCAGGTGGGTTGGTTCAGTGACATGACCACGTTCCTAATGAAGAGACTTTCACCAGGAAACGCTAGGTACGAGCTCGCAACATCCAACGACGGTTCGATCCTCCTCGACGGCGATTTTAAGAAGGACAGCTCCATGCGCCACCAAGTCGAGTTCACCCCAGACAACCTCGCCCTCCTGACATATTCCAGCGCCTTTTGCCACAACGACCTAGAACCTCGTAACATCCTGATGCGACCACGGCAAGTTGACTTTGGCCCAGGTTATGAGCTTGTGGCCATTACCAACTTTGATTCGGCAGGTTTCTTCCCTTTCGCCTATGAGACGGCTATCAAGGACACTCTCCTTGGGTTGCAGAACCGGTGCGCGAGCTGGTACGAGCTGTACAAGGACATGACCCACCGATTTCTGTGGGTGCACGAGAATCCCACTGGAAATGAGAGCAGTCAGGAGAAACTAATCAGAGCCATTGTTCTTACTGATGCGGCAAGAAAGAATGCTCAGGGTTTCCACGTGGGCAATAGAGTGCAAGAGAAGTGGTTGGAGAGAGAAATGTTTGTGAGGGGACTGAATGGACAGGATGGCTTTGTGCGACCGGAAAATGTTGACAAGGTGTTCAAGCCTGAAGATGATGCTCGGCTGGAGGAGGAGGCTATGGAGGAGCTTGGGTACATCTAATAGAAAGGGGAAATAGTCATTTCATCATTGGTGGCAAGTTTCATCTTTTGGTTCATCGCTCTATTCTCTTCATCTGCCCCAAGGTCGACTGTCTAATGGTTATAGTATCTGAGGTCTTTCAAGCTGAACGTTCATCTTGAAAGGGACAAAGCGGCGTCGAAGGTCTGCTTCGATGTAAGGGAACTGCCAAGGGGGTACAATAGTATAAAAGAAAACAAATACCCAGAAGAAACCAAACGTTCTGCGAAGGATCGAGTGCGGTCTATCTTTGCCCCTGCTGATGTTCAGTCTGCTAGAGACAGCTTGTTGCATCAAAACTTCTAACAACCCAGCCGCGAAATTAAAGAGTAAGAAAACCATGTCCCCATGAATGTCTTCAACAGGCGCCGTATCCCTCGTCATCCAATTGGTGGCGACGTGGATCGTCCCTGATACCGTAAAGACAAAGAAGGCCAGAAACGACTTCTCTGCTGTGCCTTTGGGTTTCAGGCATAGTACATTCCGAGTGACGAAGCGCCCGTATGTTAATTGCGATGGGCTTCCAATGTTCTGCCAGAATACTCCCCAGAAGCTTCTGATGCCGTGGATTTTGAAGGGATTTCCCCAAAGAGACGGCCACTCGTCCGGTGCGTCGAGCTGCAGGATGCTGACGAAAAGTATGGAGACGACCGCGTTCGCGACGGTGAGAATGAAGTATGTCAGCCAGGCCCACTGCAAACAGTAGGCTGCCCGCAATAGAGCTCCGCGGTCGAGGGTGAAATGGAAGTATCCTGGTGACACAAATTCCCCAGGGGCAGGTCGTAGGAGAAATAAGGTGCCGACTTCAATGACAAGATAGACGACCCAATGGATACAGATTATGCCGAGCTTGCGAAAAGTGAAGTAAGCTCGCTGGCGTTGAGTAATGATACGTTGGTGTGTGAACGGACGAAGCGGTAGCCGACGAGGGTTGTTCCATGCCTTGACTGAAGCGTAGATTTTCTCTGCTAAGAAATCTCCTGGCCTTGACGCGGTAACAGGCAGAGTCCATTGTTCGAGATAAAGAGCCGAAGTGGCATGGACAATGTAAATGATAGACGTGAAAGCCCAAAGCCAGTCAAGACCTGCCTTAAGCCTGCCAACCTGCAGAAAGCATGCAATTGGCCCAAAGACGTTGAACGGTAAAAAAAGCCATCTTCGACGGCCAGGTCGCTGGTGAATGGTGACGACGAAAGCTGGCAGGGAAGTCAAGAACCACGCCACGGGGACTAGTCCGTGTAGAACGGCGGACAGCTCCGTGTTGCGGAGTAACTTAAAAAAACCGATCTCCATGATCGCATGCGTTGAATGAGGGCGAGTTTCGCGCTGAAAGAGTGCGTTTGTAAGTCGACGAAGTCATCCGGACTTTAGATCACTTACATCCAGTCAGCCTTCTCCGAAACGGCTTCATCGTCGACTTGGCTGACGACACCGTCAGAACTAAAATTGAATCCTTCGCGGATGTGCCTTCAGTCGGCAGGAATTATAGCCCGACGTTGAATCCTTTGACTGCAGTTGATGAGCTGAGAGATGGTTCGCCCGGAACTTTTGCGGGCTCATGCAACGGCTCCATCGCGGCTGAGGCGACGATCGCCGATCGCTGGCAAGGATGTAAATGGCCAAGGCCAGGCACCGAACTTCCACTTTGACGACTGAGTATGTTGTGGGGCTGTCCCGGTCGAATGATGGGATGAATCTGGGCTTATCCTGGTGAAGGATGAACTTTTGGGGTTGCAGTATGCTTAGCTGCGGATTGTCGGCCTGGTTCTTTTGATTCATGGCTCACGCAGCCTGTTACTCGACGGAGGGCTTCAAGTCTTCCCTAGTCAGGCTAGAAGGCCAGTATCGAATTCAGCTTAGCAGACTCTGAGTAGATCACTGCATGCTCGGTTGGACATTTCCATTACATCAGAAGTTTCAAAATCCCGAAACAACAATTGATAGAAACAAGTGACTTCGACCTCAGTAGCCACGACGTCGTCGAGGGATTTCGAGGCGAAGAGTGTGAGCCATCAAGACTGACTGGAGTCGATTGTGTCCCATGATCTGCAAGCCGCACGTTCTAGAACTCTTCCAAACTCAGCGTGTTGCCTCGCGAGATGAAACTCCATCAAGAAAGAAGGATTTCTTGGGTTCCACTGGACCATGTCCCACAAATTCCATACTTTCATCCTCTTCTGAACATGGGTTGCCCAGACCCGAAGGAATCTCAGCACACTCCTTCTCGCTAAAGCCTCGCCCTACCAACCTTAAGTCAGGTACAAGACTCCCGTTAACTTTGCCTCAAACGTGCAAAACGGTTGCCTAGAGGACCTATTGCTCCCACACGTGGTCTTGGCCCGGCATAATCGGATCAAAGATGACCAGTTTTGGATGAAGTGAGGAACTGAATCTGGCCTCGTATTCCCGAAGGAGATAGGAGGCTGACAGCCAGGTATGTAAGTCTTTTGTGGGTCAGGGCAACCTCGCCTCGTAGGACGGCTGTCCCATTGTGCGGCCCGAGATCCTTGGCGCAAATTACCCCACAAATCTATCATACCTGGAGGCACATCAGATGGTTGTGTAAGACAATGGGTGCTTCCCTTGAAATGAAACATGGCACTGAAGAGATACACGCACTCACACCACTGAACTAAGTGCGCTGCTAAGGACTATTTACGTTGGTTGCGGATTTCGAGTCTGCTAAGTAAGTATGAAGACGAAAACACAACCACTTATGAATATGGAAATGGCAGCAGATCAGACGATAAAAAGCGCTAATCGTATTTACTTCATTGTTTTTGATACAGTTGCCCTGGTCTTTCAGTTGGTGTGGGTCACATTCAAAGGCTTTACATTAATAGCCCAGGACTTTTATGATAACGTCTCGACATAGGCTACATCTTCAGGACCCCCCATAGCAATAATTGGTTCCGATTGACATCGGTGACATGTATATTGTGGATAGAGATGAAGGAATCTTGGCAGGTAGGCTGTGATCACACATTCGAGCTCTCTGAGTGTCATGACACATATCGGGTTCTCGGCGTCGAACCTGGTCTTGTAGACTTGGCGAAGGATAGGTGACAGCCTACGCTACGGTATCTAGTCTACAAAGAACTGTGGAGACATTGACACACGCCGCTACCGAATTCGATTGCAGGGCATTCACGATGCTGAAAGGCCTTGCTAGTTGCATGGCACGATTTCACCAATAGTTTTGGGATTTGATTCCTCTTAGCTTGGCTTACGCGTATACTTGAGACTGAGCAGGCTGTAGGCAACACCTGAATGGCTTCGCCTCGTGAGAACTTCGTTCATGGTTGTGAGGCCCATAGAATCCAGCGCCGATCTTTGCCAGTGATTCTGCATGCAACTTGTGAACCGGAGCTGTCCATGTTGACGACCCAACACGGGCATGTTGAACAAGTTCCTTTTGGTAGAGAAATTGTATATAAGAATCAGTTTGCACACTCCATGGAAACAATTCTTCTGTCCTCATCCGCATCAACACAAACATTCAACACACACAGCTCTTACACTCAACTCTCAAATCTCAAACACAACTTTTCACTCTAAATCATCAATCTTCCTCAAACCATCAAAATGAAGGCCTCCGCTGTCATCGTCCCCGTCGCTCTCATGGTCGCTCAGCCCGCTCAGGCTGACATCGGCCGCGGTATTGGTCTGGCCGCCGAGTTCTTTGGTGGCGGCATCGCCGAGCTCTTCACCACCATCTTTGGCAAGCGCGATGGCTTTGTCACAACTGTTCGTCCTCGACAGGTTGAGGGTGTCCCTGAGTTCGAGTACCAGCGCTGCCGCGACGACATTTCTGGCCTGACTATCACCGCCACCGCCCCCTCTGACACTGGTAAGTCACCCAATGATTCATCAAATCGAGCTCTTCACTGCTAACAACCACTGCAGAGATTCAGTTCTCGGGTGTCCCCGCCACCTGCATGAATCTGGCCAACGTCCTCGTCGGTGATGGCACCGGGCCTTTCGCCCTCCCCTGCGGCTCTGACTGCCTCTCCTACAGCAACCTTACCCCTGAGCAGTACAACCAGCTTGCCGATGCTCTCCGTGCTTACGCTTAAGTATGGACATCACATCTGAAGACATGATGAAACTTCTGGGACTTTGCTAGCTGTTGGACACGGCTGCACTATCTAGAAGTGTTTCTTTGTATCGTATTTCTTAGCTTCTTGCCGCAAGGACAAGCGGCAACTCAATTTACATCACTCATTCCGGGCGCCCTCAAAGTGGTTTCAATTTTATACGACGTGATATGCCTTCATCGGTATCCAATTGCAAAGCGTGTGCAGCCTAGTCCTTTCATGCCATTTGATGATGTGCACTGTCGCGATTTTACCGGCTGTGCGGGGCCGGAGCATCGGCCGGACGATCGGAGGGTCAGGACATTAACTCCTTTCCGGCCGCACTAAGGCGAATGATCCCACCGAGTTTAGTGCTTACTTTTCGAGGATTCAAGGTCAGTCAACTATGTTCACGCGCCATACGTTGACATTCATCAACTTCCCATCTGCACCGATAGTCATAGCTTCTCTTGAACCATTGCTTCCTGGCCTCTTTTGAGGATTGTTTTCTCCTCCAGACGCTTACATGAGGTAGCCATCGGACCGCTGCTGGCCAGAAACAAAATGCCTGAATCGAGACCGGTATCAGTGGCAAATGGGCCCTCAATAATTACGCATCATGAACAGGTCGTCCATCGCCCGCGACCCATTGCCAGTCGCCGACGTGATAAGCCGCAGCTTTCTTGCAACCTATGTCGTCGCCGGAAGTAAGTTGATACTTCCTTACTCATCTGAAAAGTCACTGACACCGCTCTACTAGATTGCGATGCGATCGCAAGAAGCCATGTTCCAGCTGCTCTTCGCGAGGTCATTCGTGCGTCTACGCAGAGAACTCTGCGATGGCATCATCATCCACAGTGTCACCAAACGATGCAACACTACAGGATCGTCTTGCGCACCTTGAGCGCTTGGTGATGACATTCGGGCCTGAGAAGAGCTCAAGTCAATTGGCGGAATCGGCACAGGCAGCTGTTGGCACGCCCATAGACGACAGCTCTGAGACTGGAAGTCTCCGCGCTGGCGCTGCAGATCACTCATACGTGAGTGGTGACCACTGGGGTGCCATTCTGGATAGCATCGCGGACCTCAGAGACCACTTCAATCGAGAGGAGCAGTTCAGGCTTGCTGAAAGCCCGAGGCCTGCATCAGAGCCAACCCAGGACGTTTGTGGTAATACGGCCTCGGGATCCTTCCCTCCGCAACGAGCGCTTTTGCTCTACGGATGCAGACCCGCAAGATGTAGGGAAGAGATTCTATCTGCTTTACCGCCCAAGTCTACTGTCGATCGTTATGTCTCCCGATACTTCAACCATCTAGACCTAGTAGCTTCATGTGAGTGTTCTCTTACTTCTTGGATGATCTAGTCGCTAATTCTCAGGCGGAAAGCTTCTGTACATGGTCCCACGTTTCTTCGAGAGGTATGTGATCCGCGTTACTTGGCATCTGCCTCTTGCTACGACTGACCAAGCGAATCAGTATGAAGCCTTCTGGGACGATCCCTCCAATGCCAGCATCATGTGGATTGGGCTGCTGTATAGCATGATTTGCCTAGCCCTGATAGCTTCAGACACCGACAGCCAGGGGATTTCTAAGGAAATGACTCATTACGATCTAGATATTGAGGTGTACAGGGATAAGGTAGTTCAATGTCTCATCATGGGCGAATACACCAATGGCGGCAGCCATACCTTGGAGACGTTCATGAACTACGTCTATATCGAATTTCGAATCCGCGAAGATGCCGAAAAGGATGTCTGGTTCCTCTTGGGGATTGAGGTGAACCTGGCAAAACGCATGGGGTATCATCGCGATCCCAAGCACTTCCCTGGCATCACCCCACTTGAAGGAGAAATGAGGCGAAGGGTGTGGGCGACTGTTCTTCTCGGCGATAGTCTCATTTCAGGCCAGATGGGCATGCCCCGTATGATCACAAGCGACCAATTCGACACCGAAGAACCAAGGAATCTGAATGATTCAGATATTGAAGGGGACATCTCTGAGCTGCCTCCGCCTCGCCCGGAAACGGAGCACACCACTGCCTTGGGTATCATCGCAAGGAGGCGGATTCTCATAGCTCTGGGTGCCGTCTCAGATCTGACCTCGTCCCTCAAGCCGTCAGGATATGCCGAGTACATGAGGGTCGATAAGATCTTGAACGATTCAAAAGCAAGTATTCCACCGCCCCTGCAGCCCAAATCAATGGCATCTAGCGTCACCGACTCACCACAAACGATCATGGCCCGCTTGTTCTTGAGCCACATCTATTACAAGGGACAAATCATGCTTCATAGAAGATTCCTGTTCGCAGAATCCATCTCGCATGATCTTGACACATTCACCTATTCCAGGAAGGCTTGCATCAACGCGGCGCTGGAGACGTTACGTATTCAGCAGGTCCTGGACGAAGAGACCCGCCCGGGAGGACAACTCCACATCATGCACTGGCGAGTTGGATCGCTTATGAACCATCATTTCCTGACAGCCACCATGGTCCTATGCTCGGTGGTGCACCGGCAAAGAATGTTTGGGCAGGATGAGGAGATCATGGAAGCTCTGCGAAACTCTCGAGCAATCTGGATGCGAAGAGGCCAACACTCGAGGGAGGCGAAGAAGGCCGCCCAAGCAGTCGGCATCGTTCTCGCTAGGGCGGGAGGTCCGAGGTTTGACATGCAATTGATGTCTCGCAGCATGGAAGAGATGCCAATGGAAACGACTAGCTCGCACCAGAAGGCAGATGAGGAAGAGGCTGCAAGAGTTTGGAAAGACGACAAATGGCTCGAAGCAGCTCTTTGCCTTGATCAAGGTGAGGCTGGTGGCGAGTTTGTTTTGCAATAGACTGACTGGACGTGTGGCAGGCATTTCATCCGCTGTAGCCCCTTATGATCAAATACTCCCGGGACAGTATGACACGTTTCTGCAACTAGATCCGGGCAGCTTTCAAGAGGGTGTTAATACGGCGGACTGGATACTCCTGGATGATGGAAATCCCTAAGCTGTATTGGAGAGTTGAATCGGAATCTGCGCAACTTTCACTACCTACCTAGTACTCAGACGTAGATAATACTCACTGGATATTGGTGAGGCTTCGCTACATATCAATAGACCAGATCCAATCTAATGCCGCTTGCAGTATGTGTGTCCTCTAGCAGTAAGCACTTCCAAATCGACCGACAACACTGTTCCCCACAGCGGGCTCAACCAACAGGCAAGGCTGTAATAAACACAATGAGGTCAAAAATCCCGGGAGTGCCGTGCTGACAATTCTAATGCCGGGATCCCGATCCTGGCGCCAGTTCAGGAAATGATGCGCCAGAGCGTGGCGCCCTCTGCCGAAAACTAAGCTTTCTTCGGAGGGATTCGGTGGCATCCGGTCCCGAACTGGTAGTGCTGGTGCCGTAAGCCTCGTCTCAACGCGGTATCGACTTTCAAAAATACGGGGATTTAGACTGCTGGCCAACTGCGTGCGCTGGTGCCTGGGCTGACGCCCGATGGGATTTAGTCTGGATCGCCGCCCGTTGACTCGTATTAGCACACCGACGGTTCGTAAGATTGAGGGAGGCACTAACACACTAGGTTCCGTCCAAGCCTTCGATGTCGCGTCACGGTCCCTCAAGGTCATGCTTCGTCCGATGTTAAAAAGGTCGTGGCTTCGCAACTTGAATTCAATACTTTGGACGGCTGGTAAGCGCATTTACAGACAACAATATCCATCATGGTCAACTTCAACTTTGTTACGTTGCTTGCAGGACTTTGCGCCTCAGCTGCGATTCAGGATGCGGTCAAAAGAGAGGTCTCCTCCGATGGGTGCAAAAAGGAACTACCGAGTAACCGATCAGCTGGGCACGAGTACCTGATACCCTACAAGGACGATCAAGGTCATGACCGAGACTACTTGCTGTTCATCCCGCCAAAATACTCCCAAACGAGTCCCAACCCGATAATCTTTTCATATCATGGCGGAACCAAGACTCCCGAAGAGCAAAGGGATTTGGATCTTCTAGAAACGCCTTATTTCAATAAGGACCATGTTGTTGTGTATCTTCGGGGTTACGAGGTAAGAGCCTTTGCGCACAATGTCGCGGACAACGATGATTGACCAAACTAGGGACGATGGGAGGGCGTGCCCAATATTACACCGCGAAATGACGTCCTCTATACCAACACGGTGCTCGACGATCTTGAGTCGGCATACTGCATCGATAAATCTCGCGTATTCATGACCGGAAAGTCCAACGGAGGTGGCTTCACCAACTTCGCCGCATGCAACAAACAACTTTCGACGCGCTTTGCTGCTTTCGCCCCTGTGTCTGGGTCATACTACATCGAAAATGTGACGGACTGCGACCCAAAGACCGTGAAGATTCCCTGCGACGCCGGCAGGACGAACTTTCCAATGATCGAGTTCCACGGCGGCATCGACGGCACTATTCCGTACAACGGCAGCGATAGTCGACGAGGAGCGTGCTTGCCAGACGTCTTCCACTGGGTCACGGAGTGGGCGGTCCGTGACGGTCTTGGAGAGAAGCCGACTGAGTGCAACATCACCTCCAGAGCACAGAGGTATCAATGGGGTTCAGGAGATAAGAAGGGATTGGTGACTCACGTGTTTGAGAAAGATGTCGACCACAGCTGGCCTTACACCGGAGTCAATGACGACAACAAGGCCCACGGAGATGGTCCGGCGTCGTACAACGCCTCGTCGTACATCATGAACTTCTTCTCCAAGCACCCTCTAAGTTGAGTCTACGACGGAGGTGGATTTAATTTGATAAGTGTATACTTTGAATAGACATTTTATGATGATGGAACTACCACAATATTCATGACATGCATTCGCAAGTGAGCATCAGCTTCCGCCATCACCACCCCCGCCTCCACCTCCCCCATCGCCGCCACACCCGCCGTCTCCTCCTCCACTTCCTCCATCTCCTCCCCCTCCTCCGTCACCGCTGCCACCAAAGTCCCAAGTGCCCCCGTCAAATGGTATGTCAAGCCCCTCAAACACATAGTACCTCCCTCTAGTTCCTACTCTCCTCTCTTTCACAGGATTCATTCCACCTAGAGTCCATTGGACTTTAGCTCTGGCAGGGTGCCCCGGTGGGACAATAGCCGCGTCTGGGAAATACCCCTCCATGTCGCCTTGGTGCAAAGAGTGTTTCTTGTCATACCAGATGCCGTCCCTCTTCTTCCACTCTAGATCAGTCTCTCGCAAAGTCCGCTTAGCTGCCTCGGCCGAAGCCATCGGCTCATAGTCTATCAGTCTCCCTGCCGTAGTGAAACTCCAAACCCAGTAGCTGGCTGGGTAGAGGCGATGCGTATGCCAGAGAAAATCCACCATCAGGTTGGGAGGCACGAACTCACGATTCCTCGGCTCCGACATGATAGCCCCACGTACTGGGAGCGCATCCATATCGAGCTTCCATGTATCCTTGTAAGGTGCCTTTTTCATCGTCGGAGGTATTCCATGGAGCTTGATGAATCGTTCGTAATCCCCCAAGGACGCCGCCAGGTGTTTTCGCGAGGCGAAATCCGGATCCGAGCTGCGTGCCTTGAGCAGAGCCTTCCAAAAGGCGACTTGACGGTTGAAGACCTCGGCAAGATCCTCCACGTTTTGCCATGGCGTCAACTCGCACCGATGTCCGGATAGACTATGCTGCGAGGATTTGATACATGGCATCTTGCATTCTTGTCTCCTCAGGGACGTGTAGTCCCCAACTAAACATGGTTTTATTAGTGGAATCCGACACAGTCTTCCGTAGAAACATAACTGTTTTTGGAGAGTATCATCCGCATCAGGACTTTCCGTCGGTGTATCTTTCTTGGAAAACAGGGACGATATCCGGGACTTCCGCTTGCTCTCCCAAGGCGGCGATGGCCACAGCTGAAATGGAAGCCGTGGACATGCTGGCTTCCTGTGCCAACGATCCCATTCTTTCTGGCTTTTACTATCTGACCATTTGCCAGACTGATAGAGTCGCACCAGTTTCGTGACTGGAAATTGGTGGTGGTTCAGGCCGTAGGATATGTGATCGTTGTCCCAGAGATGCCGGTGGAAATGGTATGGAGATAGTAGGTGGCAGTACCAGATCATTGCAACGTCCCTAGACTCCTTGTCAGTCTATTTCATCGGCCCATTAAACGTGTCTGGGTCACTCTGGGAGAAACGGACCATGGCGGTGGGCAGTCGTATGCTGAAACCCCCTTCAGGTGCAGGAATCGTATGTAATTGATGTAACGCCATTCTGAGTATACCAGAGCTTCTTGCAAAATCTGGCCCTCTTCATCTGTCTGGAAGTGGGGGATAAGTTTCATAAATATCTCAATGAGTTCGAAGTGTTTCTATGTTCAGTTAGCATCTAGTACTCTGTGGGCACGGCAATGCCCCTCTATTACTCACCAGGGACACGGTCTCGAGCGGAATTTTGGCCTTATCCTTTGGCCAAGGATCTTCAAAAACAGTGATCGGGGTCATCTTCAACTAGGAGAAGCAGATAGATTTGCAGAAGGTCAGATCTGAGGTCATCTCGGGGGCGTCTACACACGATCTCTTTAATGCTGTACGGATACGAGCCTTTGAGTCAATGAATGACCGCCAAGTCGTTAAATAGCGGCGGACATTCCGCGCTGGTGTGCCTAGCGGACGTCGCACGTTAATCCCGCATTCAGCTGATCGCTTGCACTACAACTCACACGGGAGAATGGGTTTAGCGTATCAAACCCCGGTCACTAGCGCCCGATTGAGGCTGTTCAGTGTCATTCATGTCCCTGAATGAGCTTGGTGTGCTTCTGTAAACACAGCACAAGGCAGATTCGCTCGCCCTGTTTTTCGTTTCCGTTGCCCGATTTCTAAGAACAACACCGGGCAGGGTTTTGTCTCTCCAAGTTTCGGTGTCCATGGCAATTCGGTGCAGCTTCATGACCACGAACGCATCGGAGATTACAAGCAGGCACTGAGTGACTTCATTTTCATGGCTTTCTGTCCGCAAAGCCTAAGGTACTTGACAGCTCGAGAATTCACATTGTCCTACCAAGACTCCGCCCTTTAGGGTGCCTAACATTCTTGCTGGCCATCCGACGCACCCACCCGCAGAGCTTCGTAGGGAATAATGTTCACAGCACCCACCAACCCGTTCTCTGTTTTGGGGATCATATCAACAGAAAGGGTTTCTCCAGGCCCAAAAGGCGTCGCGCCCAAGTTCTTGATGTCCCCCAGAATGCTACGAAGATAGTTCCACATCGTGCTAGGAACTATCGCAAGAACATGATTGTCTCCTTCAACAAGATAAGTCGAGATATCGGCGACAGGATTAGTCGGGTCGAGAGAATGCACGCGAGCACCATTGACTTCCAAAGTGATCGAGTTCAGAGCCGGAGAGAACTGAATGTAGGCACCGACCGATGCATTCGTTTCAGCGGATAGATTGGGTGGCCAGGTGAAGTTGGCGAAGTAATAGCCAACACCAGACGTGTTGGTGGCTGCTGGAATCTCCGTCCAAGATACGAGACCGTCGAGATGGTGCGTGGTGTTCCGCTTAACTGCTGCCACTGCTGCATCGTACATGTCTTCGGGGGCTTCCCAATGCTCCAGGACCAGGTCCCAAGAAGTAAGTTCGAATGATGACGCCGCATTTGTTGAATAGCAGAAGTTGTCGCCCGTTGATAACGTAAGAGTTGTGGGATCTGCGGACGCAGCAGCATGGACGACGATCCCCTGATCATCTGCGCGATAGCCCAGAACATTGCCAGAGAGCTTCGTAAAGTGAAGCTCAGGTGTCACAACGTCTTCAAGGCAAGAACTAGAGAAGCCGATGATCTTGGTCTGGTTTCCAGCCAGAGTGAGAGGGATAGTCGTCGTCGAGCCTTCCGTCGTGTAGTACAACACCGGCTCTCTGGCTCCCGTCCAGGCATCAAAGAAGTAAGGAATTCCACCAGATTGCACAATGAGCTCTCCATTCGAGTACTCAGCGTCGCTGAAGACATATGCATAGCTGATGTTACCGGAGGAGTCCTGGCGCCAGGTGGTATGCCATGTTCCGTTCGTCTTGACGCCAACTCTTGGTTTGAGGCCGAGTCCTTTCAGCTTCTCGGCGATTTCGCCCTCTGCAACCTGGTAGACAGAGCTAATATTAAGAAGCTTCTGCAAGCTGGTGTCGAAAGAAAAGCTGACATCGGATGCTTTATTCTCGGTCGGATACTCGCCGGGGGAGCCGCCAGCAATTATAATGGGCAGCCCAGCTTCCGCAAACTCAGTGAGCTTGAGGAGACCCGATGAGGTGAGATTCTGTGATCCAAGCACTACAAGCGCTTGGTATTTTGCATCCTGGGGCGCGAGCAAGTTATCCCCTACGTATGCCTGTGGGAGGGCAAAGTTATCAGGAGACAAGTAGTTGTAGGACCACCCTGGATATAGTTAGTAATCGCAACATGACTCCTACGACACGTTCCAGCATACCTTTGAAGATAAGATCATCAGATGTATAAAGTGTACCCATATTAGGATCTGTTGCTGTCTGTTTGTTGTAAAACGCAACGTCGGTTCTTGGGACGCCTGTCTGCTGGATGTGCTGAACCCTGCCCATGTGGTCCAGCCCAGCTTGAAGACCGTGGTCCCAGTCGGGGCGTTTAGGAGAATACAAATCGGAAACATAGTATCTGAATGCCGTGTACCCAGGCCAAGTTGTTTGAGGGTAGTTGCCCGAGTATGATTGCCCATGAATGACGAACTGGTTGACCCCTCCCGCGACAGCGCGGTTCATGGCGAAAAGCAGGTCTGGGATGGTGAAGCGGTATGCACTTCCAAACACCGCACCAAGCTCGTTGGAGATGACGGTCTTCCTTGCCAGATTGGCTGGTCCCGAGAATTGCCTGTACCCATCGAGGTTATCGTGGAATTGCAAGCTTTCGCACTCAGGGGCGTCGACAAATGGGATGGATGCCTCCATATCCATAGGTAGGTTGTATGAAACCTGCGAAGATAGGCTTAGACCAAGAGAGTGTGTCCAATTTGCAAGAGTGGTCACGTACTCCTGGTAGCCATCGGCGAGCGCAGCACGGTAGTCGTTGATGTAGCCCTGGCCTTTGTCATAAGTTTCTAGAAAGCATCGTGTATGGCCGGGAGCATCATTCTGGAGGTTGATATTGTTGTTGTTGAATATGATGAGAGGGAGGTAGGGGCGCAAGTCGTAGCCAAAGAGCTTTTCGAATCTCTCGGGAAGGGTCCGTGTCCACGATGTGTTAGAGAGAATTTCCATACTATCCTCCCAGCCTGAATCGCATTTCAGTTAGACATCATAATGAGAGGTTATTAGGTGTGACTTGCCGTAGTTTCCAACCTCCGTGAGAAGCTCTTTGACGTTGTCGACGAAAATATACTGCTCCCAAAAGTCACGGACAACCTCGGCACCTTTGCTGCTGAAGTGATCGACAACGTAGGACCCATTGTCCCAGATTGTCTCGGTTCTGTTAGATGCAAAGACTAGGTTCTTGTGTCCAGACAAATTCTGGTAGAAGAAGAATAGTTCGTAGTCAGACGCGTTGGATGAGCTGTTGGGGAGATCGATTGAAAGTTCGCCAGTAGGTGAGATCATGGAAGTGATGTCTCTCAAGGAGCCATTCCGCAAGACCAATTCCTCCCACCAAATTTCTGCCGTCCCGATGATTGACGTTGTGTTGACTGTTACGTTTGTTCTGGATGTGACAATTGCTGACACAGCGGAGACGAGCTGCCCGGTTCCCCATCCCGGTATGGTGCCGTTGAAGTGCCCATCGGCGGTGACGGCCTGTGTCTCGGCGAACTTTGAATGCTTAGTGAACTTCGAGAACCTCACATTGTCAAAAACACTTACCAGATCCCATTGAAGACCTTCATTGCTAGGATCAGCAGGCACGCCCTGACCCTGGTTCGGACCAATCGCAAAGTCCATCAACAGACCAGATTCTTTGTGGGCCTCGAGGCTTGCGATGAGAGTCTTGATGAAGTCCGGGGTTCCGAAACCAGAAGTCGACCAGTTAACCCCCACAGGCGGCGGCCCTAGCTGGCCGCCGTAGTTGTAGAAGGGCAAGAACTCGACTCCTCCCGCTCCGATCTCGCCAGCAGACTGGATGTCTGACTTGACCTTTTCGGGATCAACGGTGCCATCGGGAAGCCAATATCTGAACCTGGGTCGTTGGACAGCAGGAGGATCAAAGAAGTCATTGCTGCGATCCTGTCGGGCGGCTTGACAAGGGCCCAACAGCATAAGACCAGCAAAAGCTTTAACACATGAAACTACTTTCATTCTGCGGGATGATTGGAGAAATTTCCTCTGTAATGTGCATGTTTCTAGACTGAGGTAGATGGCAATAGCCAGATCTATATAATAATGTCCCATCAAGATGATTCATACAATTGCGATGGACCTCTTCTCATCGACAGTTGTTGCTTTTCTTTTGCTCCGCATTTTCGGCTCAAATACGGGCGAACTTGACATCATTACGGAGAGCGGTGTCACCTCAAGTTCAAAGACTAAATGGCGGGGGACAGGACTTGCACATATTCTGCGAATACGCGTATATCGTATTATTTTCTGCATCATCAAAGTGCCACCTGACTCTAAACGAGAGCACAGCCAATGGAGCATCACCGGTATCTCCCATGACTGGGAGGTGCTCCGATCTTCAGCGACACCTTGTCCATTAGTGTACCCCTGTTCAGCTGCGTATGCCCATTCAGTTGCTCGTGTGATCCTCCTTCATGGTAGACTGCCGCCATCACCACCGCAAGACTAACGCGATACCGATAATTCCCCACGATATTCGATGCGGGGAAACGCAACATCATGGAATTCCCCGAGAGCTACCATGACATTATCTCGGCATCCACTTCCCCGGGACCAGTCGTTACTACTTGTCAATATACTCGGGTCACCACTTCGCTTTATATTTTCCTCAACGAGAATTTACAGAAGGTTTTCCCGACATAGCTGTCCGAAGATACAATCAATACAGCCGAGCTGTTCAACCGACATTGCAGGGTATACACCCAATTACCAAAGACGCATGGATGTGTCCGCTCCAGGTTAGCTGCCAGATTTTCAATGCACGATCCCGACCCCAAATCGGCGGTAAAAATCTGTCACGAAGTCGTGATCCGCCTTTGCAGGTGTGAGTACCACCTGAGCTCCTTTGCCTTCCAATTGCTCTTTCATCTCCTGATTCATATCATCTTGAACGACTTCAACGACAATTTCTTGCAAGTTTGGCAGTCTCTTCCCCCTCCCTTCCTCAAAGCCGTCGAACAAGGCTGCCAGGCATTTCTTCAGCTGGTCAGAGGAATCTCTGCTACGATCTCCCACCGGCTCGGTCTGAAAATGGAACTTCTCAAGGGATGGCGGCAGTAAATCGAGGGCTCGCGGCGCCGCCATCTCGTCCAATGGGCAAACGTCAGGGGCATCTGCGATTTCATACTCGTCGTTGGCCTTGTCGAATTCTGGTCCCATCAAGGTGAGACCGTCAATGTGTAGTGACTTGAGTCGTTTGAAGCCCTTCATATCGACGAGTGTTCGGCCGGCCGTGCCATAATGAACCATCATCCACATAGAGAGCTCCTCCAAGGTCTCGCCAGCGCATTCCATGATGGCGTTCATCATTGCACCAGCATCAAGATTGTGGCCACACCCGTGCCACTTCGTCTCGTATGCAAAGTGCAAGCACTTCAGGTTCGGCAGACGTGAAAGCAGTTCGCGCATCTCTTCTGGCCCGAAGGTGCAACCCACGAGGTCCAGTCTCTCAAGGCGTGGACTGTACTCTGGGTATTCGGGATCGAACGGCATTCCAGTGTATCCGTCATCAAGTGCGATACAGCCACCAATGTAGGCCTCACGAACGGACTTGATAGCCAAGAAAGGGGTGTTGACCGTCATCTCGTTCCTGCATTCATACCCAGTTCCCGTAAACGGTCTGTAAACTTCCAACTTGGATAGACCAGCTTCTGCAATCATCGGATCGTTCGCACGCCGCACAAGGGCATCCAAGACCGGCCAAATGATCTTCCTATCAGAACGTGGTGTCTCTTCTCCATAGCGAAGGTGTCCTGAATTTCTGCCGGGGATGTGGTCCCAACCTTGTGGCAGCGCAAGCTCACGCACGTTGGTGAGAAGCGTCAACAACAACACCTCGGCATGTCCGGACGTATCGTCGAGCATCCCCGAAAGCCAAGCCTCCGAATCTACACCAGCTTCCGCAAGATACGGCGAGTCATTCAAAAGATTCCGGACTCTGTCGATGATATCTTCATCTTTGATGCGCGGGAAAATCGGATGGAGCGCCGGGTGTTCATCAACCAGGTCATCAGAGGCATCCGTCATCCCCACATTGCCCTTCAGGTCGGCCGTTTCGATATATCGAGGAATCACTGGGTTGCGGACGATTTCCTGGATGAGTTCGGTGGCACCCTGAATTTCAATGCCAGTCTCCTGGGTGACAGGGTCCCAATGCCCCTTCCAGGTGTGCCTCGGCCTGCTATCAACTCGTGAGCAGTGGTTACTGAAGAGGATTGGGATCTTAGCATACCCCCTCTGCGATAGTAAAGTGTATTTTGAGTAAGAGAAGTGTTTGTATCTCTTCCGAAGGCGATTGTGCTCGTCTAGATATATCTTGCTTGCATTATGCAAGGAGGTGCATGTGACTGTGACATTCTCGATGGACTCGGGGATGGTCTCTTTGATGATGCGTTGAAGTAGCTCGAGTGGGAGTCCTAGCAACGCCATTTTCTTTTGGTAGCAGAGTGAAATTCAACAATCTGACATTGATGTTCCGAAATAATCGTTCTAGCCAAGTTCAAATGGACGTTGAAGATGTTTTGTAGTTGAGAGTGAAAGTCAATGCGGCGGTGACGTCCTGGGCTGCCCCGCATTCCTTCGAGGCAGCAGCTGCGATTTAGCTCAATCCTTCAGCCACTGATCTCCACCAAGTGACTCTCCATGTGAAGGCAGCGCTAGGCAGGCGCTGTGTGTAGACCGTCCGATGTCAACCAGTCACCATAGGAGTACTGTTTCGGATGAGCCTCCTACCAATGGTAAGGTTCTGTCACATTACCTACCTTCAAGTTCCCAATAGGATCAGAGCGTCTGCCTGATTGATCGGTTGAAACTACGAATCGTAGACGCATGGTATTGCTAGCGCATCATCTCTTGCTGTGCGCAAGTTGGGATACCAACTGTGAAAGCTGGATGAAAATTGAATCTTGTCGTTGCAAAGAAGCGAGCCGATACTTTCCTCCAATACTCTTCGTCCGTAACTCCCATTTCGTACTGGAGGACCTTATCATTGGTGATAACTACGCAAATTGAAATGGTCTGGCTTCGATATCTCAAGGAACTTATTCTCGAAGACCTGAAAAGCCTGTTCGGTGATCATGGGAAAGCGCACACGCACTTGCACTGGTTGCACGACATGAAGCTCGTGGCGTTAGTGATCACTTGCTTGCCACCTCCATGAAAAGTTCCAGCAGCATTGTTCACATTGTGGCCACTTGATCTAGCAAACAAATGGCAAAACCAACGCGGGGCAAGAACCCTTTCCGAGACGCTCGTGCGGGCCCCTGAAACAATTCAATTATCGTTAATGATGTTTGCTGAAAGCAAACATTCGCTTGATGATTATCTTCATCTACATTTCTAGCTGCTACAGCTGTTGAATAGGGGACGCGAAAGGGGGGAGGGATTTCAGGGAGTCGGTACGTTGTCTAACTCTCATTAAGCGACGGTGTCGGAGAATCGGAAGGTATTGCGGTCTGGCCAGGCGTTGTCGCCGAAGTCGACGCGATGTCCCATGAAAGCACTCGTCATAAGTGAAAGCCTTATGCAGCAGCCAGCTAGGCCCGTTAGTCACGCCTTACATCTGTGGTGTGTTGATAACCGTGATTGTAATCCTCACCTCTGAAAAGAATAACTGTGAAACGTGAGTTCATTCATTGAGCTGCAGTGACGGCTATGTATGTGCAACCCAACCTTGAGCCGGAACGGAGCGAACTTCGGTGATATTGGATGATCATCTTCACCCCTTGCCTGTTATTTGATCCCGATGCAGGGTGAGAGTGCAGAAATCCTAGCAGAAAGTCGTATGGTCAATCTGTCGGCTGGGCTGACGAAAACCATAAATACTGCTGGTCATCCTGACCAAGTTCTCGGAATCCCTCCTACCACGAAGGAATACCGATCAGTCACAATCAGGAGACTTACCTGCATACGATCTTTCCATCCAACCAACTGTATTTCAAACCCTCTCATCATGCGTTTCACTTCAGTTGTTGCCCTCGCCCTCGCCTGCATTGCCTCAGCGTCGCCGGTCCCTCAAGGACACAAGGAGGCCTTCAGACTCCCTCAAGAGCCCACTGACGCTGTCAATGCATGATGTCAAGTAGGTGCGTGAACTGCTTCTTACTAGTGAATACACCGAGAAGAACGGCTTACTAAAGCTCTTGTAGTAAAGTCGACTGTTACAGGGGCCTCACCAATAAACTCCTGCGAACTTCTTTCGATGACTTTCAACATGGAAATAATTTGCCGACTGGAAGTTGACTTACTCAAAGGGGTTGTGATCAGTTGGAATGGCTCATAACGACCAGTGTTCAGAGTCATCAGCTTCTCGGAACGTTCGAAATGTCATCAGTGTTTTTTACGTTTAATTGGGGACCTAGGGAGCCTTGAGTAGTTATTTTCACTAAGATCATAGTGTGAGGGGTGTAATAGTCAACAAACGTTCTTTTCTTCTAGGAGGCTATTACATGATATGGAGGAGCTTTAGTTCATTTGTTTGCGACTGTGATGAGAATACACTCGCTCACTAATATCATGAAGGCCCATGCTGCGATTTGGGAGCATTTGAACACATTGCTCACAAATTCCCTTCACGACCGTTTGATATGACCTATTTATACAACGAATCTCGTGGTTCATGGTACAAATTATCTCTCCAGTGCTTCAAACATGCGTTTGGGCAAGCTGTATTCTACAAAGTCGTCACATCATTGGGTCTTTCCTCCCGAGATGATGTCTGCTCAGTATAGAAAAATAGGGGGAAATATTAAAGCAGCACGAGAAGCAGTGACAACAATTTGAATGCTCCCGCTTGACATGTAGAAATGTTTCATGGAGATGACGGAACACGAGGAGCATATAATATGAACCAATTCGCATGTGACATTTGTCAGCTGTCATTACAGCGGCTCTTGAAGACCTGTCGTGCCCCTGAGAAGAAAAGAAGTGAGTTCTGACACAAGCATTCATGGCAGCTCTTG